TGGCTTTGTGTTCAGGCTCCCTTGTTCCACCTCCTTGCAGCAAGGAAAAGATAAGGCCACAAGAACAATGGGAGAGCCAAGGTGCATCATTTGTTTAGTTGATAAATTATGGATAGAATTTCTGATAGCAGACCATGGCCTTTACCTGAGCATGACGCCTCCCTGTGCCCTTATAATGCCATATTCCTCCTCTAGCACAACCATAGTACTAATAAATAATGATAAGAGGGCCAACTGTGTGTGTGTGTGTGTGTGTGTGGGGGGGGGGGGGGGGGGGGGGGGGGGGGGGGGGGGGTTCAAGGTTTGAAGAGGGAAACTAAAAACAAATTCATTCGTGACCTTGCTGCACAGTACTGATCTTTAAAGGTTCAGTGTGTAGGATTTAGATTTGAGATATATTGGCAGAATTGGAATACAAGATAATGAGTTTTCTTTAGTGTATAATCAGCTGAAGATAAGAATTGTTGTGTTTTCATTATCTTAGTATAAGCCGTCTTTATCTAGATAGGGAGCGGGTCCTCGTCCCCACAGTCTGCCATGCTCTTCCGTGTTTCTACAGTATCCCAGAAAGAGACAAACCAAACACTGGCTTTAGATAGGGCCATTTACCTTTTCACATTTTCGTACCGGCAACTGTAGTTAGCAGCCCCTCTTTTTACTAGTTTAAATCACATGGTCTGTTTGTTTTGAAGAGGTGAGACCTCTGCAGGTAATTCAGCTCCTGTGGAAAAAACCTCCTGAACATCTGGATCTTAAGCTGTCAGAGAAAAAAGGTGAGCACAAGTTAGCAGGTGCTGGGCTAGCAGCATGTCTGCAGCGAGCCGAACAGCATCAGAGAAACACTTGTATGTACATTTGTAACGAGCAACTGTTTTATTCAGTGTTTTTATCGGTTTAACAGTAGCACCCTGATTTGTTAACCGTTTCACAGTTGCCCATCAACATGACTGTAAGTGTGTGTTGCTCTGCATACTTTCACACTCTCTGTTTAGACACAACTGACAATTATGTGGAACCATGGATGCATATTTTAATATTTATCATAATCAGATAATTTATATCAAATGTATCCTTTATTCATTCATTTTCCGTAACCGCTTATCCTGTTATGGGTCATGGGCTGGAGCCTATCCCAGCTGACATTGGGCGAGAGGCAGGGTTCGCCAGACTATCACAGGGCTGACACATAGAGACAGACAACCATTCACACTCACATTCACGCCTACGGACAATTTAGAGTCATAAATTAACCTGCATGTCTTTGGACTGTGGGAGGAAGCTGGATCACCTGGAGGAAACCATCACTGACATGGGAAGAACATGCAAACTCTGCAGAGAGGGGCTCCCCCACCCTGGGTTCAAACCAGGAACCCTCTTGCTGTGCTGTGTTATGTCATTTGAAATAGAATATCAGTGTGTTTTCTTGCTAGATTGGCTCGCAGAAAAGCTTAAGTAGATGCCGAAACTATCATGAGCCCTCCAGGGTGCCATGCTGCGTCCAGTCTGAACAATCTAATCTGTTAGCATGGGTGCCAAAAGCAAGTGGGCAGCGCTCCACGGAAGATCAGTGCGCTTCAAAGAGATTCCGCATCCAGTGTGAACCTGGCGTAAATGACTGGGTCCATTTGTCTGGGACAGGATAAGACCTCTGTGGATAATTCGGCATCCACTGAAAACTTCCTGAGCTTCTTGATCAAAAAAAGTTATCGCACATTCGCTGGGTGAGCGGCCCATCTGCAATGTACTAAACAGCATAAGACAAATACTGATTTGCGACGTGAAACTGGTTGGTCCATTTGTTTTGGCAACACATTCTCTCTCTGACCTCGTCATATATCGATGTTTGGTCATGGACTTTCCACGTTCAAATACGACGTGCAAGGTACCCTGGGTGAATTGGTTGTTACATGCATTGTCTTTTTTACAAAATACACTTCAGTTTTCACAGGAAATTTACCGTTAACATACAGTCTCTTTCAAGATAAACGCGCTACGTCGTTACACCACTGCAAATTGACGTATTTTTTTTCCTTCAACAACAATCGCATCTGGTTACGTTTTGCCTACACACACATGTGGTTGGGTCCAGGAAAACAGAACAAGATTTGGCTTTGGCTCCCGCCCGCCCTACTCCAGACATTCTGGAGACATTCTCCCACCCGTGTTCACGCTTTGCACATGGGAGAAGTTTCATCTGGTTGCATTCGTCACCACTACATGCCACTAAATCCTACACACTGTTCCTTTAAGCATTCTGTAATAAACGGAAGGAAAATTCATCTCTGTTTATTTTTTTTTAATTCAGTGTCTGTCTTGTTTGAGTGCAGCCAGATTTTCAATTTCGTTATGGTTCTCTTGTCCCTCCCAATTCTCAGTTCAATCTTGGCTTGGACCAGTCTCCCCCTCCATTCTCATGTTGCAGCACTTGTGCCGCTGTAATTGGCTCGGTTTTTTACACCTCCTTAAGAGCCAATCTGAGCACTTGTAGCCACACACAGGGCTCCATACACAAACTCCACCAAGCTTGAGTGAGAGCTTTTACAAAACCTTAGTTATGATAAAAGTGATAATAATGTGGGAAATGGAGTTATTAATGGCTTCTGTGACAGAGGTATGAATCATATGCCATTAAAAGGGTTGCTAATTGAGACTGATGTGAAGAACAGTGCTTAAGCAGGTACTTTGCTGACGTCAGTTTTAAGTAAGCGGGGAAAAAAAGACATTTAAATAAAGCATCTTTGCTGGAACCAGTGTCGAGAATAATTTCACAATCTTTACACACAACAAGCAGCAAAACCCTGTATGAAAGAGACTTATTTAAGGAACCAGATAAAATGATGACTTTGTCTGAGGTAGGACAAAGAAAACCAAGTGAAATTTCACTCTAATGGGCTACATGTCATGAAACAAACAGCAAAAATTGGCCACAAACAAGAAGCACAGCCACTGGGAATCAAAGCTCCCACACAGAAAATGGAAAAATAACACCTTGATTTACCGTGTGAGCAAGAGCTACACCCCTGTGAAAGACACCCCTCTGAAAACTGTTTTTTTGGAGTAACAGGGACAAATGTGTGCAATTTCAGAGACTCAGTCAGAAGACACAGGCAGAGGGAGAAGAGGAAGCTTTTCCCCTGTCACCCTGTTCCTTGAATTTTTTTCCTGCCTCTCACTGTGATTAATGCCAGCTAAAAGCCCCTCTGACCTTTGTGATAGATTTATGGACTTCACGGTACAATAACTTAGTGTTTCCTTGTGCATTCATTTTCCCTGCATTGATATTTGTCATTTACAGGGTTCAGAGTTTGGCCTTTTCCCTCCTACATGAATTGTTTGCTTCCTAAGATGATTGGTTCGCAGTCCCTCCGGCTTGTCACTGGGAGGTTTAAGTGGTCTGGTGTCGTCTCCTCAGGTCCAGTACAATTCACTGGAAAGGTTGTTCACAAGATGATGTGAGCCACTTATCTTTAATACAGCTCGGTTTATTCGTATTTTGTGGTGAAGATGCACACTGTATCAGCCCAAAGATCACGCACAGATGTGTTAATATAATATCCTGTTTTAAAGTGTGTGTGTAGAAAGGGTCACATTTCATGGTGGCCTTTTGCTTAAGTGTCTCTTGTCTCTTAGAGCAGTGGTTAACAATCAGGGGTCTGTGAAAGAGATGCCAGAAAAATAGGGAACAATTAATTTTCACTATTTATTTCACAAAAGAACTGAGCTTAATGTGAGGAAGAGTCATAAATGACTTTTTTTTGTGATATGCTTTATTTCCTCCATGGTTATTTCTGCAAATGTAGTTGACAACTATAGTATGCTGGTCATTTCTAACAACCAAAATGTTTTCAGATGGAGGACCCTGAAGCAAAATCTTATCAAATGGGGGTCCGTAACATTATGTGAATCAATTTAGGAGTCACTGACATTAAAAAAAAAAGGTTTAGAGCCACTGTCTGGAGCCACAAGGCAATTTCTGACCTGTGTAATGACTGAAATAATTCTGAGAACTTCTCCTTAAAAAAAAAAAAGAAAAAAAAGAATAAGCTTTAACAAAGAGGTCCTTTGAGTGGGACTTATTAGCATGACCAGCATAAATTCTTAGACATTCAAGAAAGTATTAAAAATAAAAAAAAGATTTTTTTTTTGACAGAGTTATTAGGAAAAAAAAGGTGAGCACACATAAGCAGGTGCTTGGCTAGTGGGCATCTGCAACAAGTGGAACGGCATTGGAAACACTGATTTGTAATGTGAAACTGCTTTATTCAGTGTTTTAATTTGGCTCCTGGTAAAAACCTCCAGAATGTCTGGATCTTACGTAATGGGAGAAAACGGTGAGCACACATTAGCAGGTACTGGGCCAATGACCTGTCGATGACAAGCCAAATACCTTCGGAGAAACACTGATTTGTAGCACTAGTTCTTCAAGTCTTTGAAGAGGAAACTCACCTTACTTGCATTACATCACCAGGTAAGTACCAATACTATATGAAGGCCCTAGATGGCAGTAAGTAGTAGTAGTAGTAGTACGTATTTATCATAAAAACTAAACTATCAATCAATGTGAGCTGAGAAACCAATATCCTTGGCATTTGTTTTGACTTGTGGCTGCTTATTTGGTCCATGGCCAGTGTAGCTCTGTCTAAAATTTCATTTGGAGACAGAAAAAAATGAGCAAATTTAGCTGTACTCTATTAAAAACAGTTCATTTTAGTAATCTCAAACAAGAGGCAGCCAAAACCACAGGCAGTGGGATACAGGTTTATGTTACTTTAATAAAGTTTTTTTTTTAAAAATAAATGTTTGATCCCCTATGTATGCATATAAAAAGCAATGTGGTTATTTCACAATCTAGCCATATAAAAAATAATATTGTCTGACTTGACGTTTCTTTTTAATTATATTGGCAAACTTTTAGTCCAATCAAAACACATCCAAGGTCACTGTCAGTAAGAGGGGCGGGGTTTAGCTTACGCTTCTGTGTGACGCCAACTGCAATACAAACTTAATGCAACTGATACCTAAAGAGAGTGAATACCGGTATGACACAAATTTCGTTTAACGCAGGATAATACTAGTTGGTTGAAGATGTATTGGAAGCTACAGAAGGTAAATACATGTGTGTGTATTTTTAATAAAGTAACAAATGAATATGACTTGTAAAAACGGATGCTGAACGCGATTAGCGCGTTAGAATCATAGATAGAACGGTTAGCATGCTAACGTCATGACAACGCGTTAGCATCATAAATTAGCATGCTAACGACATTAGCAAAGCTCCAGTGATGGAAGAAGACTGCTCAGATATTTGAGTATAGTAATAATACCAATGCCACAGTATAGAAATACCCAGTGACAAGTAAAAGACCTGCTTTGAAAACCTTATTGTTACTCATTTGAAGTAGCTATATAAGTATTAGCATTTAAATGGACTTAGCCTACCCATAATGCAGTGTGGCCTATTTATATGTTACTGGGTTATAATTAGTGATGCATAAAAGTGTACATCACATTTATATTGCTGCTGGTAAAGGTGGAGCTTATTTTGATAACTTAATATACTGCTGTAATGTAATCTATAATGATATAGTGTGGTTTATTAGTTGATATATCCATATTTTGTATTAGTTGTACTAAACTAATGTTCTCAAAATAAATGTAGTGGAGTAAAACTAGCCTACAAGAGTACAAGTGCCAAAAGATTAGTAATGAAGTACAATACTTGAGTCAATGTAGCAGCAGTCTGTGTAACTGTCAAATTGTTAGTGTGTATTAAAAATGCCAGCTAGGTAGGGCTGTTAATCAAAATAAACATTATTGAAATCATAATATGGCCAATTGCAGGAGCTGCAATTTTTTGGTAAGGTAAAACGTGTCAGAATACACCAGTATAAATGAAGCATTGTAGCACTACAGACAAGCCCCGGCCCAAAAATCTATTCTAGACATAAGGGAACATAATTTGTTTGGTACGGACCCCAGCAAAAATCACATCGTCATTTTTATATTTTAATAGTGAAAATGAAATGCAACAGTTACCATTCCCACTAAAATTGTTACTCATATTGCAGTCACAATCTGTCAGAATAACTGCAATATGAATTTTTTCGCATATTGTGCAGCCCTACAGCAAAGCTAGAGCTAAAACTAACCGTATGAAAGAGCACATTTATGGTTAAAGTGCTAAAGTGACTAAGGAGATGGACATTTGTGTTCAGTATACAGAGAGGACCAGGAATCTTTCCTGAAACCCTGTGCGGAGCCTCCTGCCTGCTGCAGCTTCGCTCTGTTGCAGAGGTCAGCATGAAATCTTCACATCCAGCTTCTTCACATCCATCCCATTCCTCTTCCATTCTCCATCCTTCCCTTGAAGATGCTTCAGGTGTTATTCCATGGATTTGTGAGTACCAGTCAATATTACACATGTGCTTTATTTTGGACCTGCATTAGCATATGAAGTGGTCATTTGTTTTATGTCACAACCAAGGGGTTTTATGTGGGTCTGAAAAGTGAAGCCACTGCTGAAGTGCTTTAAACCTGCATTCTCTCTATTGGCCTGCAGGGGGCAACTGCACTGGTTGCACAACTGAGTCTGACTGTGTAAAAGTTTATGCAAAAATAACTCTACTTCCTTCTTGATTTATTACCTCAGTAAACATTTCCTATTCAGTTTATGGTCTCAATGGCTACTTTCAAGTCCTCTTCAATCCAGCATGATGTTTATTTGTAAATTATGGTCCCATTTGGAATAAAACAGATGATAAAGCAGGGTTTGCTTTGGGGCGTTGTTACCTTGTGGTTAAGATATTGCTACCACAGTGGTTTCCTCAGGTTCTTAGTCAGATTTCTCATCCAGATATTGTCTCTTCTGGCTCTCAAAAAGCCAAGACGGTGATACCTAAAATGCTCCTTCAAAACAGAAGTTCACAAAGTAATGGGAGACGTCATGGTAGCTGCGTCCACTTTTTTTTGTACAGTCTGTGGCCACGATGCTCCCAAGCCACAGCTCAGGACTGTATGGTTTTATTTAATTTCAACGAAAATTGGTTGGTGCGACATCTGTGCAGGCAGGCAATAAAATAGCTTGTAATATCACTTTGTTTCCAATGGACACACAGGCAAATTACCCTCTGAGGTTGTTAGCCATTGCTTTAGTCCCATCTGTGGTTTGATTACTCCCTACATTGCTCTCTGACTCTGTACAGTAGTTAATCTGTGTTGTGATTTGAATCACTGGGTGAAGCAGTATGCACTGTTTTCACTGTAGTGGAGAAGAAATGGAGATCAGATGGCAAGACTTCAAACTTCTCCAGTGATAGCAGTTGGGAGTAATTGTCTGGTCTGTTTGCCGTACAGGCAAAAAGCTGTTCTTATCATCAAAGACGGGGGCGAAATGCATATTAATGCACATTAAGAGGAGTGATCACACAATATGTGGTTTTGTTATTCAGAAATGTCCAATAGTTCATCAGAAGAGATCATTGCACTGTGAGTCATTTACTTCATAATGAAGATTTCTGTATTTTTTCCCTCTGTGGTGCAGACGTTGGTTTATATTAACGTTATAAATTTATGTTGGAATGACATTACCATAAGGAAATCATCGATGAGGGATTCTGTCCTGCTGTGCACCGTTAAATCATCATTAGAGGATGATGCTTTATGATGTTTTTCTCAGGATGCCTAAGAGCTCTATAAGTCCATCTTTTCATGACTCCATATTGTTAAAGAAACAAAACCCAAACATTTCCGAAGAAGAAACCTGGGTTGGGAACTAAATGCACAACATTGGGCCTCATGCAGGGAGCATCATACAAACACATTTTCTCTCTTTTGTTCGTATTCACGTCCTTATTTTGTTTGTTCCTATTGATTTCTGGGACTAAGCAGTTTTCTTATTTCTGCTCTTAGGTAGGAGACAGTTTTATAGGTGGTCAAGAGCATTCTTTCCAAGATAATAAAAGTTTTTCTGATGTGAGGAAACATTTTAAATTTGAGGAACATAGATAAATGCATGAATATTATATCATCAAATTTAGATTATTATATGTTGTAGATTATTTTGTGGGGTAAATAAATACTTGGTCCATTGATCCTAATTACTGTAAATTACTGTAAATAATACTGTAAAGTTACTGTGCATCCCTTTGCTCTCAAGCGGTGGAACTTAACTAAGACTTTTAATTAAGTACTGTACTTAAATACAGATTTGAGGTACTTTTATTTTACTTGAGTATTTTCACCTCATGCAACTTTCTTCTTCTGCTCCACTACACTTCAGAGGGAAATATATTTTTTACTCCACTACAATTATTTGATAACGTTAGTTATTAGTAGTTTTACAAATTAAGATTCTTACACACAACTCATATGAAAAGATACAAATACAGTCTAAATGATTATTTAGTTGATTAGAAAAGTAACATTTTGATAGTTATTTAAGTTGTTTTGAGGATTTGCTGGATTCCCTTTTAATTATTTATTTTGATTTATTAAATGGATTTTAACTTTTCTGCATGAGTACTTTACTTTCTTTTGTAACTCTTATGTATTTAAGAAATAAAGAACATGAGGTTGTCATGAGTTTTACAAGGTCAAATCACCGTACATTTTTCACTTACATCCTGGCGTTCACTGTCGCACTCTTCTCAACAGTGTTTATACACAATCCATGTCTTCCAGTATTTTGTACATTTTCCATCTCAAGTCTTAAAATAAAAATCTTTCCATACAGTTTATTTCGTTTATAATTCCCAGCCATTGGGCCAATGTTGGAGGATCAATTTGCAACCATTTGCGAGTTATGGCTTTCCAGCTACTTGTCAAAAGTACCTTAAATAAATATTAATCTTTGTGTGGGACAGTTTCAGGTATTTTTCCTTATCATAATGTGACAAATGAGTCGACTACATCCATCCCAATTATCCTATGAATCTCAGCTGCAATCTCTTGCCAATATGGTTGTATTTTTGGGCATGCCTAGAAAACATGATAATGATTGGCCTGCGAGGGTTGTCTCTAACAAAAGCCCCGGCTCTGCAGGCCTGTTCGCAGTGCTGTTAGTTTAGGGGTGATAAAGAATTGCACAAAATTTTTTCCAACCAAACTCCCTCAGGGACCTTGAGTTTGCAGTAGTTGCCTGTGTTTCACATATCTCCGTCCAGTCCTCCTCTGTTATTTGTATGTCCGATTCTTTCTCCCATTTTTATTTGATATGTATTGTAGAATGATTCTTTGAAATTTTAATACTGCCGTACAATCTTGAAACTAACTTTTTAGTATCTCTCATTATGTACGCATTTAAAAATATAGTAATAAGTTTGGGTTCATTTCTCTTTAAATTTTGAAATTTTTATTGAAGTAGTCCCTAACTTGCAGGTATCTGTAGAAGTCCTGCTATATCTCAATAGCTCTGCAATTGTCCTGCATGATTACTTTTCATACTTGAGTGCCAAAGTATTTTCCCATGGCACAACACCTGTCATTTAATAGTCTTTAGGGGGCATTACTTATGCTTACAGGTTACTTATGATCAAGCACAACTGGGTAAGCGCAGATTTGGATGGTTGAGAATGTTTAGTGCAGCTTAAGATTACTTCTCTTATTTTTCTCTTCACTGATAATTAGGAGAAACTATAAGAAACATGTAATAGAGTGTTGCTGCACGAGGCCCATTGTGTTCTAATATGAAGCATCCCACGCAACATGATCAGCTTAACCATCACATCTGACCTCTCCCTCCTTCAGCTGAATCTTTCTACTGGCCATTAACAGTAGAGGAAGACTTGCTCAGCTTTCTGCACTCGTCAGCTGCAGTTAGTATCATGAGTGTGTTAGGATCAGGGGCACCGCTTCCGGCGACAATGAGACATTGCTTGATTTACACCCATTATTTTCTTGTATTTTTCAGTGGGTTATGAAGGAAGAAAAGAACTCTTTCTGCATGGCATGTCGGACTCTGGCAGAGGCATGTGATCGACAAAACATTTCATTTCATGCAGTTATAGTAGAAACTGTAAAAACAAAACTTTATTTTTTTGAGAATAATATTACAATAGCAATACTTAAACAATTAGTCAATTAAATGATTAATTGAGAGAAAATGAATCAATGACAGTTTTGTTAGTCAGATGATAATTTATGCCATACAAACACTGGCTGATGACAGAGTTGTGAGATTCTCTTTTCTCGATTTATATTTCTGTCAGATGAAATTATTTCTTGTTGTCAGACAAAATGAATAATAAGTCTATTTTTGGCATGGTTTGGCATTTGTAATTCATTTTGGCATGTCAGGCTAAATGATAAATTGGCAAATAATAAATGAGCTACTCTCTCCCCGGCTAATGTTCAGTTCACCGTCTGCGTGGTTAGCAGTAACTAACACAGCAGCAGTGGCTAGCATCCCACAACGAGCTCTTAAGCGGTCCCAACAAACTCACACTGACACCAAAACGGCTCGACTCTGTCTTTAATAACTGTGAAGTAACATTAGCTGTGTGATGCTAACAGTTAGCCCTGTCATGATGGGCATGTGGCCGGGCAGACTCTCACTACTGGCCCGGCGTGGAGCTTACAGCAACAACAGCTACAACCCATACAGTCTGTGGTGTGGTGAAGTTGAGCACAGTGTATTTGACGGACTCAGCGGTTTTACTGATGGGGAGGGGTCAGCAACAAAACAGTTTCTAGCCACTTAGAAAAAAAAGTCCCACCTAAAAATCAACAGTAACAGTTTAAGTGTGCGCCCTATCTAGAATATTTTCACTGCTTTATCTTAATGTCAGACAGTTATTTCTGATGGGAAAATGAAGCTGTTACATAGTGCTCTTTAAAGCCAGATTCCATTGAGAAAAACAGTGATTAAACATTTTTGAACACAGGACCTGCTGGTCTACCACTTCCTCTAAGAGTTATTTTGTTTTTATCATTGTGTGACATTGGCGTGTAAAGGGGTCAATTTGGATGCACCAAAGTCACATAATTGCACAAATAAAAATGATTGTTTGAGGCAATGGTAGACCAGCTCCTTTGTTCAGCCACCTGAAATCACTGTTTTTCTCAATGGAGTCTGGTGGATTTATCAAGAGCATAGATGGGGAACTGAAGCTGTTAACGGCTTCCCCATCGGAATGGGCTGTCTGATGGAAAGGTATAGTGGTGAAAATACTTCCAATATAGCGTACACTTAAAGTGATAGTGATAATTTGTGGAGTGGGAGTTTTTTAGCTGGCTAAAATGAGGGTTTTTTTGGACCCTCATCCATAGCGGTACATTGCTTAGCCTCTGTCTCGGAATCCACCATACTTCTCCAAATTGGAGGTGTGCAAACCTACATCTACTTCATGCAATATACTGTCTACGAATAAGTACCCTGTACGGCCCAATTAAAAAGAATCT